TTGGAGTGATGAAAACCTTTAAGCTACTGTTTCCCCAGTTGTTAGTTGTTGTTTATTTCAGTTAAATTTATTTCATTTTAAACTAAATACACACAAAAATGATAATAAATAATCACCAAATAATAAATAATTCAACATCTATCTATCTATCTATCTATATTAATTTGTTTTAATTTAATTTCAGCTAAACTAAATTGATTTAATCATTTTATAGTTTTCATTAATGACTGACTGTTAATTACACACACACACACACACACACACAAACACAAACAAACAAACAAACAAAAGAAAAGAAAAGAAGGAATTAAAGAAGGCTGAATGTAGCATGTTTATGTGTAGGGCTCTATTTATGCTCCACTTTTGGGAAAAAGAAAAGAAAAGGACGCAGGGCAAAGTAGCGGCAAAGCATGAAGTATTAAATGCTTTTAAATTTAGGCCAGTGTTCTAAAAGCAAATGAGTGAATCATGCAGCACTGAGGTATTAAACAGAAACCTGATGCTGCAATGCCCAGGCAGCAGCTGCCATCAAAGCATTTGCCCGAATAGCTGTAAAACACTTTGACAGCGCTGTTGACTTTGTGGCTAGGTATATTTTGTTTTTAAGATGCCAGAGATCAACTAAAATAGAGGTGGCACCTGTTTCTTTGTAAAGGATGGCAAACGTTGAATTGATCCCATATGAGAGGCTTTGGGTGGCTTTTGCTTGTTGCCATTTTGGTAGAAGTCACACATCACATGGACCGTGCAGAGCAGGGGGACACAACTCTATTTTAGTCTCCCAATCACAGTGTCTTTGTCACAAGCATGTAAACTCCTAAAATAATAATCTGCTTATCCTTACAAGATGTGTTACCTGAGGATTCGTTGAGGCTGAAAGCGATTTGTACTTCAGGTTTATCTGCAGAGACTCGTCTAGTTGAGGTGATCATTTATTCCTAGAAAAAGAGCAGATCTGGATTAAATGGGTAGATGTAAACCTTATTTATACTTCAGATGTATGAGATCAGCAGCCTTTCAGGGGTCATGAAAAGGTTTCATCATGTGCCCAAAGTTGCATCAGGGATTACACAATTGGAGAAAAATCCCCCTCCAGCCAGCAAATGAGATCATACTTCTGTATTGGCTGCACAGAGTTTCTTAGTGTTGAAATGACTTATAAAATCATATTTGTGTGTATTTATAGTAATACTATATGTATACTTACTGTACTTTGTTTATTTTTTGTGACTGAACATTACAGAAGACGCAAGTCCAATGTTAGAGACACGAAAAAGGCTACAAATTGTTAAAAAGGCTATAAATTGTTGGCTACTGTAACTTCACTTTGTTAAAGCTAAAAGTGTAATTTGATATGTAATTTGTTACATATGTTTATATGAGACAATAAAACCCCTTACCTGACAATAGAAACGTATTTGCAGAAAACTGTCTATTAAAAATCTTAAAAGAGCCTCAAGAGTTGCTCAGCAAAAGACACAGAGCTGTAGAAACTCCATTGAGAATCCTGTAGATCTTCTTCCCTGTTTATACCGTAAAAAGTCACCGTAAACTAGTCGTAATCCTCGTAGTGTGCACTGAGAAGCCAAAAGCAGGTTCACAAACACAGCCAAAGTAATAGCTCTTCAGCAGGAGGCTGTCAGAGTGGCACTGTGATTCTGTGTGTGCCAGCCAGACTCCACAATTAAAGGGATCAGATGGCATGACTTTACACTAGAACAATGTCCATCTCTCCAATCAGCTTTGAGTCACCCATACATTCATAAGAACAACGCAAAGGTTTGATTTTTGTAGTAGTTTTGTACTTTCTTTACAAGATGGTTCAGGGTTGTGATTTGTAACGTTTTTTTTGTTACAAATCACTCTGATGATTATTATTTTGCAATAAAAGAAACCTAACACTGTAAGCATTCCGAGCTGTGACATCAAATTGATTGCAAAGGAAACACACAGAAAAGAAATTAAAATATAAATATATATTTAAAAATATAAATATAAAAATGAAATTGACATTTCTTTAAATTATTTTATTTATAATTAGAAATTGCTTTTCAATTAAAAGTATATTTAAACACACACACACACACACACACTGAATAATCAAATAAATATAAATTATTTTATTATTTAAAATAAAATAAAAATATAAATAATAGTTCTTTGATGAATTGCTTTGTTCCTCCTCTTTTGTAAGTCACTTTGGATAAAAGCATCGGCTAAATGCATAAATGTAAAAAATATATATAATAGAATACATTTATAAATTAATTTGGCATAAAACAATTTGATGATTAATTATTCAAAGTGATATGAGGAATTAACAATATACAGTATGAGGAATATTAAAATTATTTTATCATTTAAAATAAAATGACATTAAATAAAAAATTAAAATGAGAAATTAAAACGTTTATAAATGAAAACCATACTCAAAAATAAACAAACAAACAAATAAATAAATAAGTAAATAGACATTTTCTGTTATTGGGTGGGGATCAATCGACTCAATCGGCGCTCTACTCTCTCTCCTGTCTGGTTCAGCAATCCGTGTTTCTGCTCTCTGCAGCAACGCCTGTTCTTTCTTAGCTGCATGCTTCTCGTGCGCTGCAGCCTCATCCAGCATCAGTCTAATATCTCTGTTATCTGGCCAAAATGGCACTTCACGTCCCCAAAGCTCCGGGATTTGCTCAGATGTTAAAGGATGGTGCGAAGGTAGGGCTGTTGAAACAGTGTTTTGAGCATGCAGTGACTCTACATAGAGGTTTCTAGAACACGGGCCTCATCCCGTCCGACTAACGTACCGGTAAAAGCAGCACACACTTCAGCTGAAGAATAATATTTTGTACAAGGTCGTCATTACCATTAGGTCTTAATGAAATATCGAGGGATTGACAGTAATTGGGTTTGATTAGAAAGTAAGGTATGAATGAAGTTAGCATGTTAGCTGAAGACATGTGCCAGTGACAGACAGACGCCGCTCACACCTCCATCACTCATAGGTAATGTTAGGAAGGTAGTTGATTTTGGTAAGCTGTAGAATCACAACTATTTAAATGTACTGTTTTATTTAACGTCTATAAAAAATAACATGAATAATTTTACAATAAAGGATAGAGTTTCCCATAAAAGGGCAGTTCCCTGTTCGTAATCTCTGGATATTCGGTTTGTTGATATGTTGATCAGATCATTTAATTATAGGATTTAACCAAATAACACATTTGGCTTTCAAAGATTCATTTTTTACATTTCCAATTAATTCGCTTTTGTAACGGGTTAGCTTCTAAATATTAAGCATTTGAGATTTTTTTAAAAGTAGATATTCACATCCATAGCTCTGCCAAATGCAGATTTGATAAACATCATTATATCAGCAAATATCATAACTACTACTCATGGTTTCTTTTCATTACTATTATTTCTTTGTATAATAGTAATGATGGGTGATCCTGCATGATGTATATGCAAAATTGCCTCAGTTTCTTAGAGGAATATTATGCTATATATTATGGAAATGTCAACTTGAATGGCTGATCATTCACTAACCAGCCACAAATTTTTTATATTTTTTAATTATGAAATGACTTTTGTCTTATGGTTGCTATTTGTTTTCCACAATCAGCACTATTCGGGTCTTGAGGAGGCTGTTTTCAGGAACATCCAGGCATGCAAAGAACTGGCACATACCACAAGAACTGCATATGGACCAAATGGTGAGGCTTATTTGCTTGTTATGATGTATTAGACCTTTTTAGTGACATCACTGGACTTCATGTGATCATTTAATTCTGTACAGGTATGAACAAAATGGTCATCAACCACTTGGAGAAACTCTTTGTCACAAATGATGCTGCCACCATTCTCAGAGAGCTGGAGGTAGATATTAGTAATTGTGATTAAAAACATGAATTAATGCATATCATTTGGAAGAATATATGTCTCTTTTTATTTATTTATATTTGTATGTCTCTCTTTTTTTCTCTCTCTCTCTCTTTCCGTCCCTCAAGGTTCAGCACCCGGCAGCCAAAATGATCGTGATGGCATCCCACATGCAAGAGCAGGAAGTAGGCGATGGCACAAACTTTGTGCTTGTGTTTGCTGGTGCTCTGCTGGAGCTTGCAGAGGAGCTGCTGAGAATGGGCCTGTCTGTTTCAGAGGTCAGTAAACTACTGCACTAATGCAGTATGTCGCTGTCAGGAAAGAGGTTTGCATTGTTTGGTTCCCCATACTACAAACTATGTATTTGTTTAGCTCTTTTTATGTATCAGACCCGAATGCAATATGAGGGTTAAATAGTATGATTAATTCATGTTAAGTTGAGAACTACTATATAATTTATTTGCCTTATAAATTACGTATTTGCCTGAGCTGATGATCGTTAATTGTTTATCCCAGTTGATTGAGGGCTATGAGATGGCATGTAAGAAAGCTCTAGAGATTCTCCCCGATTGCGTCTGTTCGTCTGCGAAGAACCTGCATGATCTGGATGAGGCCACAGCCATGATCCGCTCAGCCGTCATGAGCAAACAGTACGGCAATGAGGACTTCCTGGCCAACCTTATCGCACAGGCCTGTGGTAAGGCATGATTGCTTCTGTGTACTCTGGGAAAATTCAGCTTGATTTTGTGATAATGTTTTATTTTAATCATTTTATATTGAATATTACTCCTTTTACAGTCTCTATCTTCCCCGAGTCTGGAAATTTCAATGTCGATAATGTCAGAGTGTGCAAAATTTTGGTAAGTATAAAGTGATCAATTTCGGCATTGCTTTAAACTAAATAAATGAGTGTCTGTGGGTCAGTTTCAGTTCATTTTTTTTGTCTTTGTAGGGCTGTGGACTGAACTCTTCTATGATGCTTCATGGGATGGTATTTAAGAAAGAGACTGAAGGAGACATTACATCAGTGAAAGACGCAAAGATAGCAGTGTTCTCCTGTCCGTTTGACTGCATGGTTACTGAAACAAAAGTAGGAAAATGCTCAGTGAATTGGATTAAATGTCTTTTTCTTGTGTATCTATGGGTTGACTTGAAATAGTATTTCCTTTGTGTGATGTTCAAAAAATGTGCGATGAATCATGTTCTCCTTTTGTTTTTTTGGGCTGTCTTCCTTAAGTATTTCTTTCTGATGTTTCGTAGGGAACAGTACTTATAAAGAACGCAGAGGAGCTCATGAATTTCAGTAAAGGAGAAGAGGACCTGATGGAGGCCCAGGTGAAGTCTATCGCTGATTCAGGGGCCAATGTGGTTGTGACTGGGGGCAAAGTTGCTGATATGGCCCTTCATTACGCCAACAAGTACAAGCTCATGTTGGTGAGGTGAGACAGAGGCAGATCCCTTTTTTTTTTTTTTTGCTGCTTTGTGGTGAATGATAAAGCATGTTGATGTATGTCCTCTTCCCACTCACTTCAGTATCACTTCATGTGTTAATAAAGACATGGGTGTATAGTATTTCTGTATATATATATATATTTATTATTATTATTATTATTATTATTATTTTGGGGTGAAATGTGGCACTCAATTACCAACATACTGTATGTAGATAAATGTCTTTGTGACTTTTTTTCTTGATTCTGTAGCTTAAGCAAACAGAGCTTTGTAAATATTGTTGTTCAGTCTGGCAGTGATGTATCCAGACAGCTCATGGCATCTCACTCCTTTTATTTGTAGATAAAGAGGATGGCACCATCTCTACTTTAGTAATTCGTGGGTCCACAGACAACCTGATGGATGACATTGAGCGTGCCATCGATGATGGAGTTAACACCTTTAAAGTCCTTGTCAGGGTGAGCTACTTTAAAACTCCACCCCAAAAAACACTTCTAATGAAAGTCTTTTAAATCATGACAAAATGTGACCCTAACAGTAACATTTCCCCACAGGACGCACGTCTTTGTCCAGGTGCTGGTGCCACTGATATTGAGCTGGCGAAACACATCACCTCCTATGGAGAAGTAAGCAAATCAATCTAATTTCATTTTGCTGTTGGCGCAACCTGAACAGTGTAAATAATTTGAACATGTCCTCTAAAGTCTTGCCCAGGCTTGGAGCAGTACGCCATCAAGAAGTACGCAGAGGCATTTGAAGTACTGCCTCGTGCTCTGGCAGAAAACTCTGGCATCAAGGGCAACGAGCTGATCTCCAAACTCTATGCCGCCCATCACGAGGGCAACAAGAACTTTGGCTTTGATATTGAGGTGAGGGGTCTGCAGCATAAGCTTGCTTTGCAAGGGCTCCAAGTGTAAGCAGCAAAGAGAAAAGAAGCTGTTTTTAATTTGGAGGCAGCAGACCTGATATAAATGGAAAGAAGGACCCTAAATCATGCATTTTAGGGTGTAATTGATGACTAAATATTTGTTTTAAACCATTCAGGGAGAGGGGCCTGCAGTGATTGACATGATGGAGGCCGGTATCCTCGATCCATACTTGGTCAAGCACTGGGGCATCAAATTGGCCACAAATGCAGCCATTACCGTCCTCCGTGTGGATCAGGTTAGCTCTTCACTTTACAATTATGTATTCAGTTTCTTATTCCGTCCATATTTAGTAGTTTAGGTGCTTTGCTAGCCTGCTTCTTTCTGTATTATAATGTGATGTGTATATGCCAGATCATTATGGCAAAGCCAGCAGGGGGACCAAAAGCCCCCAAACAGCAAGGACACTGGGACAAAGACGGTTGGGATGAGGAGCCAGACAAATTTGATACACATCATTAAGAAATCCAAAATAATTGCAAAGGTGCACAAAAGCACCACTGTTTGGAGTGCTTAACCACTGGAGTGAACTGGGTTGCATGAACACTGTGTGGAAATTCACCATGAATTTGTTGACGAAATGAGTCTAGCCTGTCGTTACATCACCGATAAAATAGTTATGCCGTTTAAATTGAGCTGAGAAGCATTAGTTAACCGTTTAAAGGGTTAGTTCACCCAAAAATGAAAATTTTATTAATTACTTCACCCTCGTGTTGTTCCAAACCCGTAAGACCTTCGTTCATCTTCGGAACACAATTTAAGATTATTTTTGATGAAATCTTAGGGCTCTCTGACCCTCCCATAGACAGCAAGGTAACTACCACATTCAAGGTCCAGAAAAGTACCAAGATGATCGACAAAGTAGTCCGTGTGACATCAGTGGTTCAACTGTAAAGTTACGAAGCTACGATAATACTTTTTTGCATGTTCCGAAGATGAACGAAGGTCTTACGGGTTTGGAACAACACAAGGGTGAGTAATTAATGACAGAATTTTCATTTTTGGGTGAACTAACCCTTTTAGTTTGCATTAAAAGTGTAAAGTGTCATCATTTACTCACCCTCAAGTTGTTCCAAACCTGATGGAGTTTTTTTCTTCTGTTGAACAAAAATATATTTTGAAGAATGTTTTGAACCAAACAGTAGCTGGTAGCCATTGACTTCCATAGAATGGAAAAAAAATACTATGGAAGTCGGCCTCTACCAGCAACTGTTTGGTTACCAACATTCTTCAAAATATCATCTTTTTGTTCAACAGAGGAAAGAAATTCATACAGGTTTGGATCAACATGAGGGTGAGTTAATGATGACACAATTTTCATTTTTGGTTGAACTATCCCTTTAACACATTGATAAATATTCATTCTGATGGTATTGATACTTTTTAATTCGAGGTAATGAGTATGATGGTTGTCTCCTAAACCTACTAAGATTAAGATCTAGTTTTCTTCACAAGCTCACTAACATTTCATTCTCTGTGACATTTTTTATGTCATCAGGGTTTTTGGCACAATTTACTTGCATGCCGCATGCATTAAAAGCACTTTTTCCTCACAGGATATTGCACTGCACACAACTGACTGTCTTTTACTCTGTAAGCGTCTGATAATGTGTGCTTCTCTCCCACAGATTATAATGGCCAAGCCGGCTGGTGGACCCAAAGCTCCTCAAGGAAAGAAGGACTGGGATGAGGATGAATGATGTCACTAACCTGTGTGTCTCCCTGTCACCGTCTTAACTTTTCAAGTGTTGTGTATTTAATATCTAGCCCCCATTCTTTTTGTGTTTTTAGAAGCCATCCACGTTAACAATGAGTGGCTCTGAGCTGTTATTCTGATCCCAATAAAGGCACTTGAGCTGTCAGCATCTTTGTCATTTATTTTAAATAATGCTTGGTGAACAACAAAATGCAGCGTAATTGTTACAGTTTGACATTCTTGATTGCGTATTAAACTTGCTTATTGAACTCGGAATTACAACATTTAGGCACACACTGTGACAGATTATCTCAAAGCCACTTTAAAGAATGGCTTTTATGGAATATAACTGCAATTTTCCTTCCAGAAAATCTGTGTAATTAGCTAAATTTGCAGCTATTATTTATGTAGTTACATCAACATGACAGTGTATTGTAGTGATGGGAATCCTTGCAGCAGTATTTTTCTGTAGATATTGGATTATCGTTGTGCTAAATTCATTCACCCCTTTTTTACCCAAAATGACATACTGAGATCAATGAAGTGTTGACAACCATTTTTTTCTTGCAGTAGTTTTAGTAATATTACAAAGAGAACATCCACATAAAGAGGATGTGTACTTTACACCATCGCCCTCTGCTGTTGTTTTAGGAGCTCCAATATCTACAGATTATTTGAATGAAAAATACATTTGTAAATCATGGGTGGTTAGTGTAGGTCGGATTACATAATATAATTATATATAAAATTTAATTAGTTTTATATCTTACATCAGATAGATATATTTGCTAGCTATTAATATTTTGTCTGTTTATTAACCAAGTCGAATTGTAGCAATGCATAAAATGTAATTTACGTTTTGTTTTATGACTGGTTATATTTTTTATTATTATGTATATATATATATATATAGAGAGAGAGAGAGAGAGAGGTGTATTTGTTAAATGTTACAGGGATGCCAATGTGTGTCTGTCTTTGTGTTAAATTATGCAAGATGAATGTCAAAAGAATGCGCACACTAATAGCAACGCATAGAAGGTAATTTACATTGTATTTTATGACATTGGTTTATATTTTAAAGCCAACGTCATTCGAAAACACCCTCCATCTACAAATAAATAAATATTTTGCTTTATTCTGAGACTGAGTCAATGTGAGGATTTTTATTCTTTCAGTAGCTGAATTATTAATATTAGAATTATTAAATTCTGATCAAATTAAATTATTAATGATTATATAATCTATAAATGAATCTATTTACTGTGGAAACAATAACTGGCAGTTACGGCAGGGTTGTTAATCCTCCTAATATACATTATCTGCCCTCCCCGGGAGCGCGCGTCAATCGGGAGCGCGCTTGTTGCAAGAAACAGTGGACGCACGCTCCCGCGGTGCGGTGCTGCTTAAACATGGCTGCTCTCAGCAAGTCCATACCGCATAGCTGCTATGAGATAGGACACACTTGGAGTTCCTCATGTACGACCTCCACCTTGCAGGTGACAGCCGGCGCTCTGGAGGTCTCCTTCAAGATATATGCTCCTCTGTATCTGGTGAGTGTTTCAGCGCGGATCTATCCGTTCATTCACCGGGGCAAGGGCGCAGTTAGCCTGGCAGCTACACCAGAGTCCTGCAGGACGATGCGAGGCCCGCCCCGTAATAGTTGCTAAGTTATTTGGAAATAAACATACAGGCGTGGGTCTCAACCCGTCATGTTTTACATTTACTAGCATTCAAAGTTAAAACAAAATGTCGTTAGACTGATGACACGGTCAGCTAAGCGATAGAGAGCTGCTGGTTGATAGTGATAAAACTGTCAAATGACACTGCGCAACTTTTTAAGCATTTTTGCTTTTTGTTTCGTTCTTTTGAATAATGTTGTGAATTAAAATTATGCGTGTCGCACTTAATTTGATGATAAACTGCCTAGACAGTAGGTCAGTGGTATTTGGGTGACAAACCATAGAGCGCTACCTACAGAAACCTATGTGTTGCTTGAGTTACAGCCAATGTCATTTTGTAACACAGAGAAAAACGAATGCACTGAGAGCTTGAGTAAAGTCAGAAATGGATTTCCCTAACATGCAATTGAATTTTTCTGAGTTCCAGATTGCAGCCATTTTAAGGAGGAGGAAAAAGGATTATTACAAGAAAAGGCTGCTTCCCGAGATCTTGCAATCCACGTCTTTCCTGACTGCAAATGGAGGCCTCTACATTGCGTTTTTCTGCATTCTCCGGTAATTTGAACAAAATTCTGCTAACGAGCAATTCTTGGAAACATTTGTCATCCCATGTGTGCAGCTGTTCGTACACGAGCAACCTTTGAATCCCTGTCCTTATCAGCCGCTTAAAGTCTACGTACATATCTGTCCAAATAGGATTGTAAAGACCTTTGACACATCAAATACATTATGCACAGGGATTTATGTCTGGCGTTCCGCATGACCGGTCCACTCACCTAATTTGTGAATGAATTATTTGGATTATGGATTATTTTATTCCCTTCTAAATGAGACCAATATTTAACCGTAATATTGTCCTCAGTTGAAAGCACGTCCATTAGCTTATAATTATAAATGACCAGCTAGCCTTTCCATTGTTTCCTCTCTTTTTCCTCTGTTACTCAGGAAGCTGTTGGGGCGTTTCTACTCCTGGTCAGCTGGGTTTGGGGCTGCACTGCCAGCCTCATACATCGCCATACTAATAGAGCGGAAAAGCAGGTTAGCCCTGACATTTCATCACAGATTTCCTTTGGCCTTTCTTTTATACAAATTTTATACAAATTATCCAAAGTTTAAACCAAATTTACACTAAACTTGCATATGGAAATGTACTCTAATGGAAAAGAGTTAAAGGTGCTGTATGTAAGTTTTTGACTCTACTAAAGCATAAAAATACCATAATATGTTTGCAGATATTTAAGAAACATGCTAAGTTAACATATTTGTTTATCTGAAAAACAATGCTACAGTCAGTTAATCTCCTTGGAAAATGTGCGTTCCGGGCCGGAGTGTCTGTCTCTGTTTTGGTTTGTGAAACCCGCCCACTGCCAGTTTACCGAATTGTATTTCGGCACCCCGGGTTGCCAGCTGGCGGGAAACACAGCGTATTTAATTTCAGTCATGGAAGCTGGCAAACGAAAGTGTTGGTGTCGTCAATCTGGCAACCTGCGTGTGTCAAGCCTGAGGAGGAGGGACCGGGTGAAAAAAAACCCTCCAATATTTTGAATTTGGACCGTAATACCTAGTTCAACCACTCTGTGTCAATCCTACATACAGCACCTTTAAGGCCCATTCACACCAAGAATGATAATTAGAACAATAACTATATTCACGTCCACACCAACAGAACGTTCTGTTTATTGTAGGCATGCGCTGCAGTTTTGTCATCTGCCACTTTTAATGTTCAAGCTCTTCAGTCGGGTAGATTCTGATTGGCTGTCAATGTTTATATCGTTCATCAGCTGAAAAAAAAACGCTCTGAATGTGATTTCTATTATGTTGTTCCTCTGTGTTGTCATTGTTATAGCTGCTGTGTGGACTTCACAATTAACATAGAATTAGAACAGTTGTTAAAATTGTATTGTTATAGTTTCCGTCCTTGCTGTGACTAGGCCTGTCGCGATAGTCAATATATCGACTTATCGCGCGATATATGGAACTGAGCGCGATAGTTTTTGGTGCCGCGATATATTGCGACTGATAATTTTTTATAATTAATTTTATAATTTTACATAAAAATGAATGTCACCAACTTTTTATTCTATCGCGCTGCCTCTGTTATCTCGTCTGCTCTCTGTGGCGGAGGCGGGGCTCAGGCAGCGTCTCCCCCCACACACACACACACACACACACACACACACACACACAGCGGACAGCATTCAAGCTGCGTGTCGCGTTCGGTTACGACAGTCAAAACGATGAAACTCTCTCCGAGAGCGCACAGTAAATTAAGTTTAAAACTGTTTAAAGAAAAGGCTCAATACACTACAGAGCAGATTTAATACATTACGCATCAGTAGCTCTTCTCTTTCTGCTTTGAACTTTTCTTCGTGGAGAGCTGCGCGCCGTGACTCCGTGTTGCTTCAAGCGCATCATTCTGCGCACGGGATACTTTTGCGCATGATAGGACAGAACAAGAAAATGGTGCAATATATCGCACAACAAAAAGTAGTTATCGTGACAGCCCTAGCTGTGACGCTTGCATACAGTGAACAAGTAGGCTAATAGTGCAAAATGATGTTGCAAAACCTCAATTAGTTATTATATAATTTGTCTGTCTTCTCATTCAGGAGAGGACTCCTAACAATTTACATGGCGAACCTGGTAAGACGATTCAGCATTGCTTCTTTTCAGTTCCGCTGCATTATTTCTTGACTGTTCTTTCATAGTTGCATGACCATTTCCTGGCAGTAGTCAGCATCACATCTGTTATCTGTCACTTGTGTTACTTTTTCTGGAAAGCTGTGATCAAAACCGTCTATTTCAAGGAAACCTCGGGTGATTTTGATCTAAAGTGCTCTGTGTCATTTCCAGGCAACGGAGACGATTTTCCGGATGGCTGTCACAAGGGGTCTTGTTAAGCCTATGAAACACGGAGAGGTACGTTTCAGTTTATGCTTGGGGTTAGGGTAAGGTATGTTTTTTTTTTTTTTTAAGAAATTAATACTTTTATTCTGCAAGGAGGCATTACATTGATAATAAGTAACAGTAAAGACATTTATAATGTTAAAAAAGGTTTCAATTTCAAATAAATGCTCTTCTTTTGAACTTTTCATTCATCAAAGAATCCTGAAAAAGTGTATCATGTTTTCAAAATATTAAGCAGCACAACTGTTTTCATAATATGTTTTAAATTGTAATAATATTTCATATGACTGTTTTTACTGTATTTTATATCAAATAAATGCACCTTTTTTGTGCATAAGAGACTTCTACGGTGGCCGAGAAGTGCAAAGCAAATCACATTCGTTGTGTTTTCTGACTTGTTAATTTGTTTTCGGATTTGTCGTTGTGTTTTCTTCTTTCGAAAACAAAAAAAATCATACTGAACCCAAACTAACGCTAGTGTATCTGGACCTTATTACATCATGCACTGAGATCATGTTTTCTGAATTGTTGTTGTGTTTTCTGAATTATGTTTTTTAGACTTGCATTTGCGTTTGTAATTTATTTTGTTTTCAGAATTGTGATTTGCTTTGCACTTCTCGGCCACCGTAGACTTCTTTCGAAAACAAAAAAAATCATACTGAACCCAAACTAACGCTACTGTATCTGGAC